GTTGTCCACCGCTGAGGCTGATAACGGACCCATGGGTGTCCGTGGCTTCCGACCCCGCTGTAATAGAAGAGGCAACGTGAGCCACTGACTTGGGGTGCTCAGTTGGGAGCCCAGGGCAAGGCATTGAACTCCCGAGGGGCAGAGCAGCCCCGGCACCCCTCGGCTTCAGCGGGTGCTGAGGGGTAACCAGCTCGTAAGAAGCCTCAGGGGTTTTGTGCCTCACATTAGACACTCAAGTTGGGAGTCTGTGGCTGGAATGGACTTGTGCCTCAGTTTCCCCAATTACAACTTGGGGGAGGGGGGGATTGCACCTACCTGAGAAGAGTTACGGCCGTTAAGTTAATGTGTAAAGCGCCAGATGAGTCCCAGCCAGACAGCACCCCAAGATCTCTCTGGGCTGGGCACCTACTGTCCCCCAGGGTTCCCTGTTTATTGTGGCCAGTTGTCTCTTGTGAAAGGTCTCTACCGGTGGCCAGCTGCTGGCACGAAGCAGCCGGGCTCTGCTTCTGCTGCAGGAGACAGCAGGGTGGCGGGGAAGAGCTGGGACCTCAAGATCCCCACAGGCCCCCATTAGCTGGGTTATTCCTTGGCTCCCTTATGGCAGCTCTCAGAGTGTTTTCCAAAGCTGTGGGAAGACAGTCTCGTCCCAGTGAGCTCACAAGCAGCAAGCGAAGGGGGTGGGATCACTGGTGGCAGTAGTAGGCTGTTATCCTGTGACTTGGGCCAGCTGTGCGAGGGGGATATGTAATCCCTCTGGACCACCGGGTTACGCTCCCCGCCAGTTGGCTCTGCACGCTGGGCCTCTCACCTGCTCTTTGTTCTCTAGTCTGTGGGTCTCCCACCCACCATCAGCTGCTGGGATGGTCTCCCCAGCCATTGCTCTTGCCTTCATCCCCTTCCTGGTCACCTTGATCATCCGCTATCGGCACTACTTCCTGCTGTTCTACCGGGCGGTGCTGGTGCGCCGACTGCAGGACTGCCTGACGGGCCTCTCCCGGGAGGAGCGGGCCTTCCGGTATGTCCTCACGCACGCCATCCCCGGCGACCCCCAGCACATTCTCGAGACCTTCGACCAGTGGTGCTACCACTGCGAGTACCTCAGCAACGTGGGGCCCCACAAAGGTAAGGGGGATGTCACTGAAATGCAGCTGCCTCTGGGGTGGAACACAGCAGCTGTTCTACAGCACACAGCAACATCGCCTGACAGGGACAGGAAGAGCAGGGGAAAGAGCTAATCCACTGGCAGTGTAGGGAGGTGACTAGGAGCGCCAATGCCGAATCCTGCGTCTTGACCACGCGGCCATTCCGCCCCCGTAGAACCAGCTGGGAGGAATGGGAGGAAATGGGACTTTTAGGCAAGGACAGTGTCCCAAGAGCAGGATCTCTGAGACTGGGGAAGAGTAGCCCAGACGGTGAGGCTGGGAGCCAGGGTGGCTCACAAGAGATGGTTATTTAAAAAAAAGATTTTATGTAAATAAAATACGGTTTTATTTTCACTTACATAAACCGATTTACAATTAATTTTGAAATTGACAACCTGCGGGAAGGCCTACACTTGGGAATGTATTAAATTAATCTAAATTCAATACACAAAATATTAAGCAGTGCGCCAAGCTTCAAAGAAAGTGAAATCACTGAACTGGTAGAAATCACAGGGTAAGCACCTGGGAGCCAGAGTTTGCTGAAACGCTAAGCCAGCTTGTGACAGCGGCGCTCTCTTCCGCCGGCGCAAAGAAAATATTTGCTTTACTTCTGTGTATTCAGCCAGTTCACTTCAATGATTCATTCATTCAATGTCCCCAAACCAAGGGAGACTGAAAAAGCAGGAAAGCTTGTAATCATTGTCCAACCTCCGCCTAAAAACTAGGTATGAGAGGATGAGCTCAAATAGTTCTAAAGTCTTGTAGGCACATGGTGACCAGAAACAATCAGTTCTGTTCAGTGACTGCACATCATAGAATCATAGAACACTAGAACTGGAAGGGACCCTGAGAGATCGTCGAGTCCAGTCCCCTGCCTTCATGGCAGGGCCAAGCACCATCTAGATCATCCCTGACAGGTGTCCATGTAACCTGCTCTTAAATATGTCCAGTGATGGAGATTCCACAACCTCCCTAGGCAATTTATTCCAGTGTTTAACCATCCTGACAGTCAGGAAGTTTTTCCTAATGTCCAACCTAAACCTCCCTTGCTGCAATTTAAGCCCATTGCTTCTTGTCCTGTTGTCAGAGGCCAAGGAGAACAAATTTCCCCACTCCTCCTTGTGACATCCTTTTAGATACCCCAAAACCACTGTCATGTCCCCCCTCAAGTCTTCTCCTTTCCAAACAAGCCCAATTCCTTCAGCCTTGCCTCATAGCTTGTTCTCTCGACCTTTAATCATTTGTGTTGCTCTTCTCTGGACCTTCTCCAATTTCTCCACATCTTTCTTGAAATGTGATGCCCAGAACTGGACACAAGACTCCAAATGAGGCCCAATCAGCACAGAGTAAAGCGGAACAATGACTTCTCGTGTCTTGCTCACAACACTCCTGTTAATGCATCCCAGAATCATGTTTGCTTATTTTGCAACAGCATCACACTGTTGACACATATTCAGCTTGTGGTCCACTATGAGCCCTAGATCCCTTTCTGCCATACTCCTTCCTAGACAGTCGCTTCTTATTCTGTATGTGTGAAACGGAATGTTTCTTCCTAAGTGGAGTACTTTGCATTTGTCCTTATTAAACTTCATCCTAATAAGGACAAATGCAAAGCACTCCACTTAAGAAGGAACAATCATAATTCCTTTGTTTAGTAGATCTGTGAGTTTTAAATAAAAAATATATTCTGAAATTTTTCCTCGTGTATAGTTAAGGCAGTTATAGTTTTAAAAGATTTAAATTTTGGTTTTCTGCATTAATTGAATGTGAATTTCTGTTCAAGTAGTAAAGCTTCATATAAATCGGCTACATCTAGATTGCATCCCTTTTCTGTAAAAGGGATGCAAATTAGATGTATCGCAATTGCAAATGAAGCGGGGATTTAAATCTCCCCCGCTTCATTAGCATAAAAATGGCAGCCGCTTTTTTTCGGTACGGAGCTTTGCCGGAAAAAAGTGCCAGTGTAGATGCGGATCTTTCGGAAAATAAAGCCTTTTTCAAAAGATCCCTTATCCCTCTTAAAATAAGGGATCTTTCGGAAAAGGCTTTATTTTCCAAAAGATCCGCGTCTACACTGGCGCTTTTTTCTGGCAAAGCTCTGTGCTGAAAAAAAGCGGCAACCATTTTTATGCTAATGAAGCGGGGGAGATTTAAATCCCCGCTTCATTTGCAATTGCGATACGTCTAATTTGCATCCCTTTTATGGAAAAGGGATGCAGTCTAGACGTAGCCATCAAGTAAAGAAGTTAATCATATAGTAAAAGGAAACAACACATCAGTCACCATTTTCTAACAACAAAAAATGTAAGTTAAGAATCTGAACACATGCCAATAAAGCTAAGTAATTGCTTAAATTAATGGGTATAGAAGTAGTTTAGCCTCTCGGGGTATGTCTACACAGCAGTGTTATTTAGGAATAATGTCAGTTATTCTGAAGTAACAGTCCGCATCTACACTACAAGCAGTTATTTCGACATAATGTCAAAATAATGTCAAGCTGGAGGACTTCTTACTCCAACTGCTGGAACCCTCATTTCACGAGGAGTAAGGGAAGTCAGAGGTAGAGTGCTCTTTCTCGGACTTCCTGCTGTGTACAGTGCCCAAAGCCGAATTAAGCTATTTCGAATTAAGCTATGTGATTGACGTAGCTCAAGTTGCATAGCTTATTTCGGCTTTAGCCCTGCTGTGTAGATGTGCCCTTGGTTAGCAGAAAGCAGCTAAGGTAGAGGCTAGATTTATTTGCAAATCAACATGTTTGGATGGTAACAAACCAGTGAGACACAATCATGAGGAAAGTAACTAACAACTTCAAGTGCAAAGACATGATTGAAATAGATTTAAATCAAGATTTCCTGCTTGCCAATGAAAACTGGTGATTTAAACGCTCTTTGCTTTACATCCATCCCCACATTAGGAGCATGGAGAGCACAGAGCTCTGGGGAATAGATCACAAGGGGAAAGCTTTCTCTGGTCATGGATTGGGAGCCCTGGTGGCCCCATCAGGCTTTTTCACCTCTCGGGTGGATTACCAGGGATAAGGGGCATGGGGAGAGTGAGGTGACCTGACGAGGCTCCTTCTTTCCTCTAGGAAAGATCCTGGACCGTCTGATCTATGAGAACACGCCACTCACCGTGCTGGAGCTGGGCACCTATTGTGGTTATGCCACCATCCTCATGGCCCAGTCTCTGCCCCTGGGTGCCCGGCTCTACACTGTGGAGATGGATCCACGCAACGCTGCCGTGGCGGAGAAGGTCATCCGCCTGGCGGGCTTCGACGAGGACACTGTGAGTAGCTCCCTCCCCCAGTGCCCTTCCCAGAGAATAGAGGCATGGCCGATCTCCCAGCTTATTCTGAACTAGCCTTGGTGAAAAGAGGCTGCCAGGACAGAGCAGCTCTCGGGGCAGACCCCGGCAGCCTTTCTGCGCTAGCGCCGGAGGGGAGGGAGGGAAGGGGGAGTGAAGGTTACAGCACCCAGCTTAGGGGAATTTCAGGCGGGAGAACAGAATTCCTAGGCTTGGAATTTGGCCGACACAGAATTTAGCCCAGACTGTGTGCTCTAAGTGCCAATTGCCTCCAGTCCTCCTGGGGTTTCATCTGGCTGAGCTATTCCTCTCCAGTTCCTGTCTCAAACAGCCGTGTGGCATCCCTGTTGGCTGTCGAAAAGCTGCCACATTCTGCCCCAGAGCCAGATGCATTTTAAAGGGCTGATCCCAGGCAGGTTGGCCCCTTGGTTTGCACCGTGCTATGGGATCCTGCAGTGGGGGGGACATGCTGTTAGTTGGGGTGCCATACAGAGTGCAAACCCCCCCCCCACTTCTCCCCAGCACAGGTGGAGCTGATCGTGGGCGCCTCAGAGGAAGTGATCCCGCAGCTGAAGGAGAAGTACGGCCTGCTCAAAGCCGACTTTGTCTTCATGGACCACTGGAAGCGCTGCTACCTGCGGGACCTCCAGCTTCTGGAGGCCCACGGCCTGCTGCTCGAGGGAGCCACCATCCTGGCTGACAACGTCATCTTCCCCGGGGCACCCCACTTCCTGCAGTACGTCAAGACCTGTGGCAAGTACCAGTGCAAGATGCATAGGACCAGCCTGGAGTACTTCCGGGCCATCCCCGACGGCATGGCTGAGCTCACCTACACCGGCCTGGCTTGAGCTCCTGCAGATGAGGCGAGGCTGCCTCTGCGTGGCCAGGCAGAGATGCAAAACCCTGTGGCTAAGTCCATGTGTTCAGCTTCGCCATGCTGAGCCAGCTGTGCACGTGGGCCCGTCTCTGCTCTGTCTGTATGTGGACAGCCAGGAGTCAGACTGTGCTCTCATCTCCACTGGAGTAAATCCAGAGTGACTCCAGTGGAGTACTCTGCATTTACACCAGCAGGTCCATGCAAGCTACCCACACGCAGCACTGTTTGTGAATGAAGGCGATTCTCCCTCCCTGGCCACATGCCCTGTATGAATGAGCACCCACTAATGCACGCCAGTGCACATCCCACTCCGAGGTTTTGTCTGCTCCCAGTTGCTCCCCATCTTACTGCTCCAGCACTGCTCCTGTCTTCAGGCCTTTTTCTACACCCGGGCCCCCTGGCCTAGCTCCATCCCATCCTTTTAAATCCCTCCCCAAACTTTCCCATGCTTGAGGTTTAAAGGGTGAGTAGAGAGCAGCCCAGCCCTTCCTCTGGGCTTCCTGGTGTCTCCTAGGGCAGGGCCTGTCTCTTTCCTGGGTTTCTATGCAGCGCTGGGCCCACCCTCTGCACACGGCAACACAGCCTGCAGCAGGCATCTGCACTAGGAAACAACCCCCTTTCCCCATCTGCGCCAAGCTCTCTGCTCAGCCTCCTGCAGGCTGGCTACGATGAGCACCATTCACGTAGGGGCAATGTGGGTTACCCAGGGCCATTGGAACCCTTTGACTCAGCTGGGATTTGGAGAGAGGCCTGAGCAGCATGGACTAGTGACTCTACCCAGGCGAACCAGCCAGTCAGCTGGCTTCCCTGAGCAGGCTGGAGAACATACCAGCCAAGGGTGGCAGGACACCGGGGCTCTGTTCCTGGCTCACTGGGCTAGTCATTTCATTGCTCTGTGCTACAAGTTTCCTCAACCCCGTTGACAAACACTCCAGGGATACATCTCTCTCAGCCTTTGAAAGTCAGGACACCCTCCAGACAGGATATTTCAATACATCACAAAAGATTACATGACAGTCTGTAACCTTAACTCTGACCACATGCAATGGCAATACAAGGCAGTGTTTAGCATGAAATATGATGCCAGCCGAGGTACCCCCGCCCCCTCCCCCTGGCCAACTCCCCCCCACCACCCTGTTCCCTCCCTCCTGGCCAGACCCCTATCAGCACTCTGACCCCAAGACCCTGCTGCTGCTCCCTGGTCAGACCCCCACCAGCATCCTGCTCCTGGCCAGACATGCACCAGCGCCCTAGTCCTGCCACCTCCCTCCTGGCCAGACACCTATCCCCAGCTTGCTCCTGTACTCTACTTTCCACCCACATTCTGCAGTCCCATTCCTATTCCACTCACTAGCAGCCCAGTCCCACACTGGATCCCTCATTTTTGCCCCCCCCCCCGCTCAGAGTGTAGAGGGACCCACAAAATCCACTAACTCTGTAATCCCAGAAGAGTTAATCTGGCCTGAGGCCTTGAACCTCAGCCCTACCTACCCTCTCCGCTCCCTCCATGGGGCTGGAGTGCCGGGGGAGTGAGGTGCCTCAGTTGAGGGCCACATCAGTGAGGCTTGGGGGGGTTTGGAGGGTTTTTTTTGCATCTCACTTGTGTGGTCCCCAACTGATTTTTCTGTGGGTCAGAGGCCCTGATGCAAAACAGGTTCCCCGCCCCTGCCATAAAGACAATGCTGAAACGTTTTGTGTTGGACATAATATTTTATTTAAAAATGAAGTCTGACCAACAAGCCCCCAATTGGGGCCAAGCCCCTGTCTGGCCAGAGCATCATAACCCTCCTGCACCCCCAATAGACCCCAAGCCTGAGCCCGTCATACACCTGAACCCCCTGCCCTGAGCCACTCATATCCCCAAACCCCCAGTCTTCTTCCACAACACTCATCCACATACCGCAAATCTGCATCCTGAGCCCATCACACTCCCAACCCCCCTGCTCGGAGACCCTCATACATGGCCACTCAAACTCCTGCACCCCCACTTCCACAAGCCCGTGGCTTGCTCAGCACCTCAACCCTCCACCTGATCCCAACCCTCTCCGGCCAGGAGCCCCCTCCCTAAGCCAGCATCCCCTTCTCCACCTCCTCCTGCACCCAAATTCCCTCCCAGAGCTTGCACCTCTCGCCCCTTCCCACACCCAAATCCCTCATTCCCACCCCGGAGTCTGCATCTCCTGTCTCAACCCAGTGAGAGCGAGTAAGGGCTGGGGACAGCAAGTGAGAGGAGATTGGAGAAGGCAGGGCCTCAAGGAAGGGGTGGGGTGGATCCCAGCTTCCCCTGACATTTAAAAAGTGACCTTGGGTGTAAGAAGGTTGGAGACCCCTGTGTTAGGGCATCCTGACTGCAATGTGCTGAGCAGACGCGGCCATGTGAACCAACCCACGAGAAACATGCAGGTTTTGTCTGCTCCTTGGACTGTAACAAAGCCATGGCCCAGCTGAGCTAAGCTGCCTGGCCTGGGGATTTCCTGGGCCCAGCACGACAGGTCTGAGCAGTCTGACATTACATTCAGGTTTGTCAAGTGCTCTCTGATGGGTCACCATGGGAATGAAATGACGGGGGAGCATCCCAGCTGCTTTCCATTAGGTGATCTGAGACCCGTTCCCGGGTCACTGGCTCTACGCTAGGGAGATGCCCGTTTATGTGACGCACAGACTGCCTCTTGCCAGGTAAACGTACCGCACACCCAGCACGCTGGGGCCTTGATCTCGAGTGGGCTGCAAGGCGCTACTGGAATACTATTAATAAAAAGCCTCAAAGAATTGTTTCTATGTGTTATTTATTGGGAAACCCCCACATTTCTGAGAGAGCCGGAGACGCACAAAGCCAGCCCCAGCCACTCCATCCCACACCGGCCGCCCGTGATCCCATGCAGAGCGGGTGGGCAACAGGAGCTGCCCTGGCACAGGCAGCAACATGCGTAGGCACTGTGACAAAAGCGTCTCTCCAGCCGGCTCCCTTGCGGGGCCCGAAGCTCAATCAGATTCTGTTCCGTGCACCGTTCATAAAATCACCATGAGACGGACGGCAGAGGGGGCCCTTCCCTATGTGCTGCTGTCCATCAGACCCTGCGCTGACCGAGCCGGCCCATGACGCCCACTGGCCACGCCGAGCCAGACGGAGGGCTCTACCACCCTCCTTCAGCTCCAGCGGATGCCAGCAGCCTTTAACCTGGTCAAGCTGCTGCTGGGTCAGATCATCCACTGGTCTTGGTCTTGCTCAGCTCCTTCCATGTCCACCTTGGGCAAATGAAACAAGACGGCTAGTCCCTCAGCTTTAGCAAGTCCCTTCCCAGCAGCTATCCCCCAGAGAGGACGGCAGGTGGTGTGGGGCAATGTTCCCTCTAATGTTCTGGAATATATTTTATGGGCACTGAGGCATGTGCAGATGTGCACCACCAGCTGTGGGAGCTCTGCCAATCAGTTGGGCAGCTGCTCAAGCGCTCAGCTTATACAGAACACTGGTGGGGGGGAGACTGGAAATGGGAGGCAGGACTCTTGGGTTCTCTTGTCAGCTCCGGCGCTAAGTGACTTGGTACAGGTTAACCTCTTTGTGCCTCTGTCTGTCAGACTGGGCACGCAACATGCCCCAGCTCACGGGGGCGTGACTAGAAAGCTCACCGGAGACAGCTCGGCATTACTGCCAGCCTCCGGAAACACCACCAATCCCTGGAGCTCCCCTGACTCCCACCAGGGTGCCTGCAGCGGGGGGAGATTTGCCAGAAGGGCAGTGAAAGAAGCCTGCCGGCAGACCCCTGGAATGATGTGGGGGGTGTTCTATTAGGTGCTGGCAAGGGATCTGTGCAGGCTGTGCCACCGGATAAGAGCTAGTGCGTGGAACTGGGATTGGATGACGAGGCAGGCTCATTCCCATGTGAAATTTGGGGGGAAAGGGAAATGCCCAGATGGACCTGGCCTGCTCCCCAGGAGCCTGCTTGGGTACTGCTGCCATTCAGCAGTCAGTGGATGGAGGTAGTGGGTGGTGTGTCTCTCCCCAGCCACCGCTCTGTGCACCTCCCCATGCACTGGGGTCTTCCCACACACCAGCTTCCTCCCCCCCATACCTCATTGATCTCCCCGTCATCCGGGGACTCGTTGTAATCGTTCATCTCGTCCATGTCCTGCATGTCCTCGTCATCCTCAGAATCCTCTTCGCTGTCTTCGTCATCTTCGTCATCCTCCTCCTCCTCCTCATCGTAATGCTGCAGACACCAGGGTAACCCACAGCTGTCAGCCCAGCGCAGCACCGCTCTGCAGCTAGCCCTCGCTCCGCTTCGAGACCCGACGGTCCCAGGCTCTGCTGCTCTTGTCTTCCTTAGACTGTGAATCAACCGAGCCTCTGGCCCAGAGCCCCCTGGACTAGCACCCAGTCGTCAGCTCGCTCAGGGCGCACTCACCCGCCCATCAGGGCCCACAGATCTCTCCCAGCCTGTCGTTTCACCCCCACCTTAGCAGCTCAGCGCCTCACTGGGGAACTGGAGACATTCCCTCCACACTCGGCACTAGAGCCACGCAGGAACAGCATCACTACCGACCACAGGAGAGATGCAGAGCACCATCAGATCACTCCCCATGCACCCCACTTCCTGTCAAGGAACCTCCCTGCTTCCAGAAGAGGGAGCTAGCGAGAACAGTGAGCCTGAGGGGCTGAGTATGGGGTCTCCTTGGTGCTCCCACCCAGAGGGAGGGGAGGCAGGTGCAGATCACTGGGAGTGTCTATCTGGAGCGGACTCCCGCATTCATCCATGGACAGAGTGTTCCTACGCCCTCTAGTGGCAGCTCTAGAGAGAGTAAGACACATTCGCAGAGACAGCTGGGCCCGCTCCTTTGCTCTGAACACTGCACCTGGTATACAAGGTTGAGGCAACTACCCGTTGGGCACCACAACAGAGGAACAGACGGGCCAAGCCTCATTGGCACTGCGATCCCGTGAGTCATGTTGCAATGCTCTGAACAGGGAGTGGAGCCCAGTCATGAAGGACAGGAGGTGCTGCTGTGGGGTGGGCTTGCCCTACAACTCCCTTGGCCCTCCCCCAGGATACAGCACCCAGTGCCCTTTTTGATCCCTCCAAGGCTTCCCATCTCCCGCCAGGAGCAGGACCGATTCCCCCTGCTTCCCAACTGGCTAGTATGAAACAAACACTAAATTCCCCTCCCAAATAAAACCTCAGCGTGACTTGTTTATTGAGTGAAAAACCCAGCACACTGGCTCATTAACCGCACAACCTCCAGGTCTCTGTCTTCCCTTCTTAACAACCAAAACCCCACAGCGCAGAACAGGGCATCCGATTCTTACCTCCGAGGCAGGTTTTCCTATAGGGACCAAATTATTGTCTTTTTCTGCTATACTCTGCAGCTGTGAGGGGGAGGGGAAATACAAAGGAACGTCAGTCTGAAAACACCAATGTTGTGTAACATGTAAGCACAGTATCCTGCAAATCAACTGTCTGAAGGGGATAAAAATCAGCCATGGTTTTCTCCAGGAAGATATTGCACAATATACCCTTTAACACCTCTGGGAGCAGCTGTTGGCAGAGGCAGGATACCAGAGAAGATAAAGCGATCGAATGATCCATTATGCCAGTTGTTAAGTAACCTGCAGTTCTCGGGTCATGGAAGATTCAAGGATAAAGATCATTTTACCTGCTGCTGAAATGCAGCTACTTCTGGGTGGGACTGCTTAAAATGTTGTCTTGTGTTACATGCCTCACACCAAAATCTGGCTGTGCTAGTTACCAGGAACACAAGAACGGCCATATTCGGTCAGACCAAAGGACCATCTAGGCCCGTAGCCTATCTGCCAATAGTGGCCAAGGCCAGGTGCCCCAGAGGGAATGAACAGAGCAGGGAATCATCAAGTGATCCCTCCCCTCTCATCCATTTCCAGCTTCTGGCAAACAGAGGCAAGGGACACCATTCCTACCCATCCTGGCTAACAGCCATTTATGGACCTAACCTCCATGACTTTATCTAATTCTTTTTTGAATCCGGTTATAATCTTGGACTTTACAACATGCTCTGGCAAGGAGTTTCACAGGTTGATTCTGCACTGTGTGAAGAAGTACTTCCTTTTGTTTTAAACCTTTCACCTTTTAGTTTCATTTGGTGACTCCTAGTTCTTGTGGTATTTACTCCTTCCCACAACTCTTCTTTATTCACTTTGTCCAGACCAGTCATGATTTTATAAACCTCTATCATATCCACCCTTCATCTGTCTTTCCAAGCTGAAAAGTCCCAAACTTATTAACCTCTCCTCATGTGGCAGGCATTCCACAACCCTAATCATTTTTGTTGTGCTTTTTTGAACTTCTTTCAATGCCAAGATATCTTTTTTGAAATGAGGCAAAGTTTCTTTTGATTAGAGATTGATCTTCTGGCATTTGATTTAGTAAGGCCCCACTAAATCAAATGCAGAGGATGCCCCCAGTTGGCACTGTAACTTTTTGATTTGTGAAGGGTAAGGGAAGTTGACAGGAGCATTTTCTCCCATCAAACTCTGCTGTGGAGACAGTGCCAAGCTAAGGTCGACTCCAGCTATGCTATTTACGTAGCTGGAGTTGCGTACCTGAAGCTGACCTGCCAGGTCTAGCATAGACCTGTTCTTAATGTGCTTGCAGACAATGGCTTAATGCTGACCTGAACTCCTTCCAAAGGGGAGAGTGGCTTCTGTTTGCAACAGATTGCAATTGTCTGTATCACAGATTGTCAGCATAGGTAGGACTAAGGCGGTTGCCCCAAGGAACTCTGGGATATATCCAGAGAACTTCTGGCACACAGGGGCTTGGACCCTATGTCCCAGCTTAAAATGGGCTTGGACTGTCCAGGAGTCTGGGACCCTACAAGCCAGCCCTAGGCTAGCACAGCTCCCTACGCATGCCACATCCCGTGGAGCGACCCAGAGATAGGGTCCAGAGTGACTTAGACAAATTGGAGGATTGGGCCACTAGAAATCTCATGAGATTCAACAAAGACAAGTGTAGAGTCCTGCACTTGGGACGGAAGAATCCCAAGCATAGTTACAGGCTGGGGACCAACCAGTTAAGTAGTAGTTCTGCAGAAAAAGACCTGGGGGTTACAGTGGATGAGAAGCTAGATATGAGTCAACAGTGTGCCCTTGTAGCCAAGAAAGCTAATGGCATATTAGGATGCATTAAGAGGAGCATTGCCAGCAGATCCAGAGATGTCATTATTCCCCTTTATTCGGCTTTGGTGAGGCCACATCTGGAGTACTGTGTCCAGTTCTGGGCCCCCCACTACAAAAAGGATGCGGACGCATTGGAGAGGGTCCAGCGGAGGGCAACCAAAATGATTAGGGGTCTGGAGCATATGACCTACGAGGAGAGGCTGAGGGACTTGGGTCTGTTTAGTCTGCAGAAGCGAAGAGTGAGGGGGGACTTGATAGCAGCCTTCAACTTCCTGAAGGGAGGTTCCAAAGAGGATGGAGAGAGGCTGTTCTCAGTAGTGACAGATGGCAGAACAAGGAGCAATGGTCTCAAGTTGTGGTGGGAGAGGTCCAGATTGGATATTAGGAAAAACTATTTTACTAGGAGGGTAGTGAAGCATTGGAATGGGTTACCTAGGGAAGTAGTGGAGTCTCCATCCCTAGAGGTGTTTAAGTCTCGGCTTGACAAAGCCCTGGCCGGGTTGATTTAGATGGGATTGGTCCTGCCTAGAGCGGAGGGCTGGACTTGACGACCTTCTGAGGTCTCTTCCAGTTCTGATTCTATGATAAGGGGATGGTTGGATGAAATAACATGATCTTGGTAACTAATTGACCATTCATTATAGGGAACTTTCTGGGTGTCTGGCTGGTGAGTCTTGCCCACATGCTCAGGGTTTAGCTGATCGCCATATTTGGGGTCAGGAAGGAATTTTCCTCCAGGGTAGATTGGCAGAGGCCCTGGAGGTTTTTCGCCTTCCTCTGTAGCATTGGGCACAGATCACAGCTGAAGGACTCTCTGCATGTTGGGGCCTTCAAAGTATTGGAAGGCTTCAATATCTGAGACATAGGTGAGAGGATTATTCTAAGAGGGGTGGGCGAGATTCTGTGGCCTGCACTGTGCAGGGGGTCAGACTAGATGATCATAATGGTCCCTTCTGACCTTAAAGTCTATGAGTCGAGATATAGGTGAGAGGATTATTCTAAGAGGGGTGGGTGAGATTCTGTGGCCTGCACTGTGCAGGGGGTCAGACTAGATGATCATAATGGTCCCTTCTGACCTTAAAGTCTATGAGTCTATGAGACCCCGTCCCCCTGTAACCGCTGAATTTCACAATTACTAAATTCAATGCATTTTGGCGGCCCTAGTCCGGAGCAGCCAGGGAGCTGCTCCAGCCCTGGAGGGCTCACCAGTCCCACCCCTGCCTGGGACCCCACTGTGCACCCAGGCTGCTGGAGCCCGGGGGGATCCCTGTGCCGGGGGGAGCTCAGGCAGGCTGCCGGAGCCGGGGGGGTCCCTGTGTCGGGGGGGGGCTCACCCAG